GGAATTGGATCTAGCCCGGGTTTTCATAGTTCCTTTTTTAGTTTAACGTTTAAATTCTAACGAGTGATAGATTTGTAGTCTTGTGGATAGCTGAATAAGCATGAGGTGCTAATGTGGTCATTGGTATATGATTGGGAATTTCAAAGTTCATTGGGAACTTCCATATTGGTGAAAAGGAGAAATTGGATATTCTCATAATAAGAACAATGAGCTCGCCAGTCACCATAGCAAGTGTGTAAAAATTCTATAAGTTAAATAGAGATTTCAATTGAGAGAGGGAAAGTAGAAGAGAAACATGATATGGCTTTGACAGGTGGTAAACATAAATATTATTATGGATGAAATGCTTAAAAGTGTTAGTACATGACTGGTGAACTAGAATTTTAATGAAGATTTCTAGTAAAAATGAAAACAATAGGTAACTATCAAATGAATTTTTTTTTTTTGTAATGGATGGAAAGAATGATAAGTGATATGAAGAAACTTTTCCACGATGAATTTGTAGCTTGGGTTCTAGTAGAAGCATATTTTTTTCGTGCATAATGTGATTTTGGGCCTTGTGCTGGTATAATAATTTGGAAATGGACACTCTGACTATAAAAGAAAAGGAAATTGATATTCATGTCTAATTTGTAGTATTTTTTCAAGGGCTTATTAATATCTATGAACATTGATATTCTTGGTGCTTAGTGTGTGGATTCTCTAACATGGTTGTGAGAAAAACTTGTACCATGAGTTCTATATTTCTTATTTATGCAAATGTCTATTTATTTTTGGAGCTGTGGCATCACAAATGATGCGCTTGGTCCATGACAAAGACGTGTATTTTCCATAACCACAAGAGTAAATGCGTACCTTTTGTTCAGTTTTTGGTCCGGCAATTGCTTATTGGGGCTGAGGCTAGTTAACTAATTCCTTGCAACACCTCTCAAAATTGCAAACGAAACTCAGAAACTTGCTATTAGACATTCACACACTACTGACACACAAATATGTATGTTCATATTTAGGCTCCATAACGAAGCTTATTTGCTTTTAACATGCTTTTGCTTATATTAGTATTATTTCGAGCATTGACGAAGTTTTTTTTTCTTTCAATGCGTTTCTGTAATGTCTCTGTCTTTTACCATTCTGCAAGGTCTCTATAAATATTAGAGATATAATTTAGGCAGCCGAGAAATCGTTAAAGTTCGGTTTTGTCCTTAATGATATCTGGAAAGTTTGACGCAAATTCAATTGCCCTATCAATAGGAATTATCCTCCCTTGATGAATATTATGTCCAAGAAACCTTATTTTCGTTTGAAAAAGATTTATCTTTTTGGCTGATACAACTAACCCAACATTTTTAACAGCTTTAAAAATGTGTTAGATGTTTCCAATGTTGATCAATGGTCTCAGAAAAAACAAGAACATCATCGATATATACAATCATGAATTTGTATAAGGATTGAATATGTCGTTCATGATGTTTTGAAATTCAAAAGGTGCATTTTTCAAACCAAAAGGCATAACGTTCCATTCATAATGCTCGAAGGGAACATTGAACCTTGTTTTATTTCTGTCCTTTTCAATTATTTGGATTTGCCAATATCTAGATTTTAAGTCAAAATTTGAAAATATGCAGGCATTAACCAATCATCTAAGAGGTCTCTTTTATTTGGAATTGGATATCGAATCCATCTTAATGCTTTATAATTTATAACTAATCTAGGGGCTCCTCTTTCAATTTCAGAAGCCTTCTCAACATAAACGGTTAAACAACTCCAAGGTGAGGAACTTTTTCTGATAAGTTTTTTATCAAGCAATTCTTGTATTTCAGTTTTACAAATTTCAAGGAGCCTACTATTCATTTGAATAGGCCTTGCTTTTGTAGGAATTTTTTGCTCCTCAAAACCTGGTTCATTAGCAAAAGAATAATTGTGTGTGGAGCCACATGATGACGCACTATTCTTTACATGCACGTAACCATTTACGTTATTCTTACAATGTAAAGAATAAGTGTGTGGAGCCACATGATGACACAATTATAGTGTGTCTTTTGTTTACACACTATATTTTTTGACCAAAGAATATAGTGTGTAAACAAAAGACACTATATTCTTTGGTAAATGGTTATAGTGTGTCTTTTGTTTAAATTTACCAAAGAATATACGTGTAATGTAAAGAACCACATGTAAATGGTTATAGTGTCTTTTGTTTACACACCAAAGAATAAGTGTCTGAGATAGCTTTGTTATTGGATGTATACTTAGAATTTAGGGAAATGTTTTTGTTCATGCTCCTCAATGACAATCTTTGTTTGTGTTCATGCCCTTATAAGATATGGATTTCAACACTGGCAATATCTTCATCCTAAACCAAGCAATGTAATGCTCCATGGTGTATGAGCACTAATCTTATAATTTGTACAGCTATGAGGACACGTAACCATCATGGCCTATTGGAAAAACCTTCTGGTATCAAAACATATTCCAACATAGTTTTAAAGCAAACATTATAAGGTTGACAGCTTATACAAACCTCACCCAAAAAATGGTCCTTGAACACCTATATGTTGGCCTCCAAATTTGGATTATTTTGTTCAATTTTAAGGTGTTGATTTTTTTCTATATATATTGATGGCCCTTGTTAAAACGACCAAAGAGAAAATTAAATAGGGCTATCAATATATATAGAAAAAAATCGACACCTTAAAATTGAACAAAATAGTCCAATTTTTTGAGGCCAACATATAGGTGTTCAAGGACTATTTTTTGGGTGAGGTTTGTATAAGCTGTCAACCTTATAATGTTGAAGTAAGGCGCACTTTAAAACTATGTTGAAATATGTTTTGATACCAGGAAGCTTTGTAATGGCATGAAAACCTTATGTTAGCTCAATTTGTAAAATCTAAAGCTCAAAAAATGATGTAGATCGAATAATAAGTGCTTAAAAATTTTAAAAATAGACTGTCCAAATAATACATTAGAAGATGCAGCATTTCAATGACTTTAATATTTCTTTATTTTCATATATCTCAAGGTTGAGGTGACTAATTTAAGGGTTTTTTAGTGTCGAAATGACCTTTCTCAATACATTTTTCTCTTTTTTAGATAATAAGTGGGGAAGATAGGTCAATATTTATTTTTTAAAATAATTAAAAAATTAATTTTTTGAAGATATTAATAGAGTGGTGTTAGTGAGAATGAAAACCACAACGCGATGAATAGGATATGGGGTACTACGACCCCACCTGAATAACCCTTACTTCAATTGCAGGCACCTTATATAATTTGGTGAGAGAAAGTATATAATGAGACCATATACCTTTAGTACAAGGTGGTCACAATTAATCTTGACCAATGGATATGAAATTGGGTGGCTGCATTTTTTTCATTGACCAACCTCAAAGTTCTAAAGAAATTTTTTCGAACTTTATGACACACCCAAGCTATCAGATTTCACATCGGATGGTTGTAAGCAATTGTGACCTCCCTGTACCAAAGGTAAATGGTTTCATTATATGCAATCCCATTTGGTAATGTACTTATTATAGTGGCCCAAGCAAAGAACCGAAAAATAAAAGAAAGCGTCCTTCCCTTTCCCTTTTTTTTCCTCCGTTTACAAGCGCACTGGTGGTCTTGGGGGCCTATTTCTCGCTCTTACTGACACCTTGCACAATATGCTGAACCACCAAATCAGAGAGAGGACCACCAAGCGATATGAGACTGGACCTAAGAGATGCCGAGGTTCTGAATGGTTGGCTGCAAAGCAATTTGATGGTTATTGATTGAAGAGTATGGTCTCTTCTTCTCCTTTTCAGAAGGTAGAGAGATAAAGAGAAAGAGAGAGAAAAGGTGGATGGAGGTTTAGAGAGAGAGAGGTGGGTGAGGGAGGTTTAGAGAGAGAGAGAGGGGATCGCGGGGTTAATGTGTTGGTTGAGTGGGAGGATCATTGAACGCCTAGTTCTGTGTTTCCAAAAGTTACATGGGTAATCAACAAAATCTATTGTTTTCTCAATGTCCAAAATTTGACCTTTTTAATTTGAGTTTTGTGGTTTTCTGAATTCATTGTTGCCCAAACTTGCAGTCTAGTTTACAATTGTTGATGTGGGGTTTTAAGATTTATCACTAACCAAATAGAGCATTTAGAGAAAAAGGATAGTTTGGCTAAGTAAAATAATGTTCAGGAGGATAAAATGTTTGCTAAAATTCTTGAGTTTGGCTAAGTAAAATACTGATCAGGAGGATAAAATGTTTGCTAAAATTTTTACAGGATAAAATGTTTGCTAAAATTCTTAAAAGAAACATCTTTTCATGGGACTGTTTTGAATGTTATCTCTGTGGTTGTGGCTTGAAATAGAAAAGGAGGTTCTTTTTTTTTTTGAAAGCTTGAAATCTTTTGGGTTTGAAGTTTTTATAGACCTTGGGAACTTAGCGAGGTTTTCCTAAAAACAGTGGGGCTATTATAGTCATTTCTTCAACTCAAAGTGGCTATTGAGCCTTTGGCCAACAATTCACTCAGGTATGATCCCTATTTCCCACCATTTACAGATTTATTTTTAAGGTTGCAACCTTATGGAAACCACACCCAATAAAGTATATATATATAATAAGATACCTAATATTATCACAACTATTAAAGTATATATATATAAATATAATATCATGTTATTTTGATCCAAATAAGACAAGGCTTTCTTTTTTATTTCTTTAGTAAAGTAAAAATGTATTTTTTTTGATAAAAAATTAGATCTTCTACTGGCGGGATTGGACCTGTAGACTTCTCTTTCGCTCATTTATCACTCTTTCCTATACCAGTATCAGGCAGGTGGGATGGGCTTGCATCGGAAGTGAAAGTTCTCTTTTGTTTTCGCGATGAGAAGTGTTTTTTCGACTAGCTTTCCCAGAACCTGTTGTTAGGCGGATCGAGTATCGATTGAATGATGCACCTACCCAACGGCCATAACGATTTCCGAGTCAAATGAGATTTAATGAAGGGTTGGTGATATTTACTAAAAAGAACCTTTTCTATTGTAGAGTTCTTTATATGGTTCATGCAACATCAATACTCCACAGGATCCATCGGTTCAAGGCCATTGATTAGTTCAGGGTCAACAACTGTCAACTGCTCCGGGCATGCCTACTCGAATGTTGCTTTAATCGATAATAGTGCACCGAAAGAAACATCTTCTTTCTTTTTTTTTGGGGGTGCGAGAGTAGTGGCTAGGCCTTTCTTAATGAAAAGGTCGAGAGGATCAGATCAAGATCTCGATCTCGACGGATTCCGATTACCAAGCTCTGAACCTCGCTCACTCAATTCAGGCTATTCCAGGAGATCGGGGAGGTATCTTCAATAAGAAGTTTGGTCTTCGCCATTTACTCAGTTCAAGTGTCCCCCGTGATACGAGCACCAGAGCCAGGTATAGCGCAGTGGTTGTTGTTTCATCCGTTTATTGAATTGATCTCACGAAACCAGAAGCAGAGGGAGCAGCCGATGCCAACCAGCACGTGAACTGATGAACGGACTATCTCTCTCACTTTGAGGGCCGATGAAGAAGCGGGGGAACCTGACCTAACTGTTTCTCTGAAACCGGAATGGGGGATGGGAGGAAAAAAAAAAAGAAAGAAAGAAGAAACAAACTGCCTTACTGGTAGTAACAAACTTGTATACACGGGCATTATTAGTATTTAGCTGTATTTTGTGTTTATCACTTTTTTGTTCTATGTGGTAGATATACTCGCATGAGAATTTTGATATTCTAAATGTCGAAGAACCTAATGAAGAATGTCAAGAGAAATTAATTTTACTTGATCATTTCCATGCACATAGTTTTTTTGTTTTTAAAAGAAATCCTTTACTTCCACATTTACTTGTCAAGTAAAACTGTTTGAATTGCACATGTGTATAATCTTTAGGAGTTTCTTGTTATTTCATTTTTATTATTGACTTATTTATTTATTTTTGCAATGTTGGTATTTTTACTTGTCCACTTTATCATAGTTTCCTTGTCTCGCTTAGTGATGTTCTTGTTTACAGGTCAACCCTCATGCACACCAGCTCAAGCTCTGTGACTTTGGAAGCGTAAAAGTTTTGGTGGGTCTTGCTTCCTACAGAATCAAATTTCCATATAACTGCAAAAACTCATGTTTCTGGTTCTGATGATTTATATATTTTGATTGACAGGTGAAGGGGGAGCCAAATATATCATATATTTGTTCTAGATATTATAGTGCTCCAAAACTGATATTTAGAGCCACTGAGTATACCTCGACGATTGATACCTGGTCAACTGGTTGTGTTTTGGCTAAACTCTTGCTTGGATAGGTGAATTTTTGCTATTGATTTCATTATGGTTGTCACTGCGTTAATATTCATTGATGATGAAATTGTATGGTTGCTAATTTATCAATGAACTTTGACAGCCTCATCTTTCATTTTGGTATTAGGTCATATTTTACGAATTGTAAGCTTTATTGTAGTCCATGTATGATTATATACTTCATCCATGATAATTCTATACTTCTCCTTTTATGTGATGTAAATTTAATGGTAAATAGTAGTTCATACAGGGAAAAAACATCTCAATATTTGCATATTGATGCAAAAAAATGAAAGTTATTAGTGTAGTACCTCATTTTCATATTGGATTCCTAAAAAACAACATTTATAATGATTTTTGATAATTTTCTTGGATTTTTTTATGGTCGAATCTGACCGATTCCCGATCCGGATGGCTTTTTGGGGTGCCAAATCCAGGGCACCGATCCGTTTTTTAAACCACTGGTGTCTAATACTCATAGTGCGCACTTTATTCAGCTATAAATTGTACATTTTTGTTTTTTATATTTTTGGTGGAGAAGATGGATTATTGTAATTTGAATTGCTTATTGATAAACACAATGGTGCATAAAGCATGGATGGGATTATCTTCCTCCTTTTAACGGGTCCTCAAAAAAATATTGAGGTGGTTTGTAGATGGATGATGAGGAGATATCAAAGGGAGACAAGCTTATTATGAGGGGATTGAAGTTCCATGGCTATCATGGGGTGCATGAGGCAGAGAAAAAGTTGGGTCAGAAGTTCTTGGTGGATATAGATGCCTGGTTAGATCTGAAAAAGGCCGGTGAGACCGATAATCTGAACGACACTGTCAGTTACTCTGAAATTTACAGGTGAATTGCTATCTCTCTCTCTCACACACACACATACTCTTGCAGAGACGAGCAATGTCTGTCATTGTTGAAGCACTAAACACATGCTTCTTACAAGTCAATTTCTTTTTGTCATTTTTATGAAGTTGTTCGTCACAGGTTTGCCATCTCTCTCTCTCTCTGTACAGATTGGTGAAGGGAATTGTGGAAGGGCCATCCCACAACCTGTTGGAGTCAGTTGCTAACACTATTGCTTGCAGTATATTAACAGCCTACCCTCCAATAACTGCACTTCATGTGAAATTAGGGAAGCCTCATGTAGCTGTTCAAGGCACCATCGATTATTTGGGAGTCGAGATTTACAGAAACAGGCCCAAGTAATTTGTCATTTTTGTCAAAGCAATTGTCTCTATTGTATTTTATGAAATATAAACCGAGTTATTCGTCTTTGTTACCGTCTTTTGCAACACTTAATCTAGGCTCAAAACTGAAATTTTAAAGTGAAATTCATGGTTTTTTATCTAGTCTTGATGCTCGTAATTGTTGAAGTTGGAATAATTGGGAGGTTTAGGTCAGTGTTTTGTGGGAAATGTTTTACTCCGAAAATAAACCATCCGTCCGGAACTGCAAAGAGCATGAGCATCCTATAAATATTTGCATGGGAGAAGCAAGAATTGCACTTAATCAGTAACCTGTAAATTCATTCTTGCGGGAGTGCATCTTTGAGAGAGAGCAGCAAAGGTAGAAAAGTACATAAGAGGTCTAATTGCACCTGTTGTTCTCATGGAGAGAGGGAGAGAATTATAAAGGTTTAGTTGTACCTTTTGTTGACTCATGTACTCTCTCTCTTCAAAAGATCCATGTCAAGAGTTTCTGCTCTCTTCCTCCATTTAAACAAAAACGGGTGCAAGCCATAGAACAGCAAGAAAGCATAGAGACCCCCACAACTGATCAAAGGGTGCGGTTTGTATAAATTTGACGCCTTAAACAATCAAAACAAGGCCCACCTTTGTCAAAAGATGTCGTTTCAATACTAAAAACCTTTATAGTGACCTGAAAATTTATTTCCAAGACTTGAATTTATTTTTTTTACATCCGTGCATCGCAAGATCAAGATGATAAGATTTGAGGGTCTGTCAGCATCAAAACTTCTTCTAGTTAATTTTTGAGGTGCGCCTTAGTTTGTGCGTTTAGGGCCTCAGCCAAGCCTCAACCTTATGTTAACTTTTTCCATAATCAAAACATGTACATCAATCAGACGCTGCTAAAATCTCAAATCATGTATAAATCCTCTGCAAAAACCCAACCTCAACCTCAATTAATACATCATCTTTTCCTCTAATGAACAGAAGGAACAAGGAAAACATAAAAACCACCAGAGGTAAGAAGTTTACAAGAGCAATATGTATTATTTGGGACCTTAAGCCATGGTTTTAGGTTTGCGATGCCATTTTGGGGTGACCTCGATGAGCTGGTGAGGCATGAGCTGACGCTCACGTTTGGTGAGCTTCTTGAATTTGCTGACTCTCAGCCTGGCTACCTCAGCCTCCTCTTCAGGGCTCAGCTCTCTCAAAACCACTGTAAGCCTGCACTCCGGCCTTACTTTTATCCCACTCCTCATTTTTGCATGGTAAGATATCCTCTTCTTAAAGAACCCCTTCCCCACAAATGCTTCAGCTGCCATCAGAGAGAGAGAGATTAGTAACATTTAAATATCGAAAATATGAAACTAAAACAAGGGAGAAAACAGGAATTGAAACGCCACTTCTATGAAATGATAAAAATGATGAGATTTTTTGTGTCATATTAGACCATTTCGCCCTTTTACAATAACACAATTGGTGCCAGTTTAAACCAACTTTGGATTTCTTTTTCCCTGTGGTTTTGTTTTTATGCAACAAGGAAGACCTTCAAAGCTTTAAGATGAAGAGGAGAAAAACTGTGGGGTGACATTTGTAATGGTTTAAGTACCATAATGGCACAGTTGTCCATCCTGAAAACTCCCACATGTTTCTCTTAATATTTGAGAAAGTTCAAGAAGATGTGCAAGCCTTATCGAAATGCTGTGACGTTCAGGTAACTCTATAGCGGTGCCGAGCTAATAATTTCTAAGAAACAGAAAGGTCATTTCCACGACATGCTCTTGTATCTATTTTCCATCAAAACCAAGAAATAGTGTAGTAGCAATTGCAAAAACCGTGTTTCGCAAAGCATACCAACAAGAAGCCTGTCTGGATCGAGTCCATGGTTGTGAGTTGCATTGGCACGGGCAGAGTGTATAACCTGCATCAACAAGAACACAATGTTAATCCAGGATTACAAAATAGCGAAGAACACAATGTTAATCCAGGATTACCGTTTGAGAAATCAAGGACTAGAGAGAAGGCATTGCATATGAGTCATTCCTGGTCATTTATGCTAGCCATCTTCACATTAAGGAGTGAGAAGCCTTCATAGCCACCCTATCTCTCAGTCTCTCACTTATGTGTGCCTTTGGTCAGTGTAAATTTCATAATACCTGGTAGACTGACTTTGCAGCTCTCTTCACTGTTACTTGCAATTGCAATAGTGCATCCTCAACACGCATTCCACGTACTAAAGCAGCCACCAAATTGACCTTCTTAGGACTCTGAGGAACCGTGATTTAAATTATCAGTTAAACACAAATACAGGCAAAACAGGAAACAAAATACACCATAGAAGAACTGGATACAGCAGGAGAGGAAAAGGAAAGGGATGATGTAAAAGCAAAGGTTTACACTAACAAAAATGCAATGGTTTCTGCCTGCCTTTGAAAATTCAAGAAAGAAGAATCTGACAATGAACGCTCGTTATTTAAATGCTATGATATAGTTGAGAGGCTGTTCTTTCAATTGCAAGATAACTATTTTCATTATCCATGGATTACATATTCTATCATTTCTATCCACGTTATGAAATGAAGGAGACCTTAGCAAGGGCCTTAAGTTTCACCTCAAGTCTATTTGTCATGATCTTTCATCTAACTGAATGCCAATGATGTAAACATCAATTGTTCAATCACATGATAGATTACTTAATAAAAAAAATTATTACTGAATAAAAAAAATTAAGGTTAAGTATGTGGCTCTTTCAAGTTCAAAAGGATGATACATTCATTCCTCCACCAAAGCACAAGCCAAATAATAAAGCTATAGTCATCATATAAAGCCCAAAATCATATCTCAAGATTATCAGATGTTCTGAGCCAAATAAATCCCATAAACAAATGGATAAAGTAAGTTGAGTCCTTATTCAACATTTAGATCATTGGTCCTCCCTTTGGCATACAAAAAAAAGCCAATTTCTAATTACCAGTTAGTATGAAAGAGTCACATGTTCCACTTGTTTGGCTTAAGATTCGCAAGTGGGAAATCCGTAGGAATGGCTAAAGCTATTCTATCTAGATTTCTCCTTGCTTTGTGAACCTATTGTGACCTGCTTCAAAGAAGATTCTCCCAAAATATGTAGAGATTATAGTTGTATGAGAAAGTCCCAAAATGAATCTCATTAATTAAAGTCATGCAGACTTAAAGCCCATTAGCTAATACATCTAGATCAGATTATTCTGAAAATGGAACATATATCTGATCAGACTAATTATAGATACACATCCATATAACAATTTACATATCTGTATATTTAATTTCTTTTTGAATGTTAACATTGTATTTATTATTAATGTAAGCCACAATACATCTCAATGTCAACAGACTCCAACGAGATGTCATGGTAACATCGTACTGGTCCAAAAGATCCACCTCAATAGAAAAAAATATCATGTGTCCTGGCGCAAATGGCTAGAGAATAGGCTTCCATCAACTTCCCACAACACAATAAAATGAGAGGGAGAGAGAAGCACTCATAAAACAATGTCTATGATTCCATAAAAATCATTGCCAGACTCCATGATGGCGTTAAGAGCCCACTAGCCCATCTGATGAAATTAAGGGTATTACATTTAACAGTTATAGAACCACACACACTTTGGGCACATAGGTGCAAGCCTGACAGTAGTGTAGAATCACAAATCCTATGGGACCTGAGAAGAAAAGAAACAATAGTCCTTCTAATTCCCTTAAAAAGCAATGTCCAAAAACAGGGTATGGACTTGAGGATTGGCAGAGTCCCAACTTCAAGTTATCCATACAGCTTGGTCGAGTTTGTCAGGGAGTCAACCAAGTCGGTACAAGTTATAATAGTAAAATGCAGGAATCAGCTGAGTTTGGCAGGTTTCTACTGGGGCTTGGCACCTTGCCGAGTCCAAGTCACTCGGCAGACTCGCCCAAGTTTTAGAACACTGCTTAAAGGGCTTCTTATCCCTCTTTGACCCTGCAGTGCCCCTTGAACTCCTATCAAGATTCAGCTTTAGTGAACCCCTTTGGGTCAACCATCCAAGGCATGGTCTCTGAGTAGGCCACGAAGAGAAGGCTGTCATTTTCTAATCCCTTCCATATGCCTGCAAACTCTGGCTAGAAAGTCCCCACAATCACCAAGTCTCAAATCTGCTCTTGTAGAATTGGACCTCTCATGCTTTCACCCCAGAATATATTATTATGCTCCTTCTGTAAACCTCAAAGGTTAGTAAGATTGCAAAGAGATTATCTGTGGAGGGGAAACCTGAATGACGTAAATTTCACTTGGTTAAATGGAAAGATGTTTGTGGAATTGCCTCTCCCATGATTTCTCCTTTCTCTATTTTTACACCAGAAAAACTTATATAAGTGCATGTCTGGATTCCACCTCAAACCATGATTTCAGGGCATTTTGGTGATTAGTTTGTTTGGAAAAAATGAAAAAGAAAAAAAAATAGATTTGTGGCTTGTGTCGATGCACACATGAAACAAGAGTTCAAGTACAAATAAGAGGCCAAGCCACAATTTAAATAAAAAGAGATCCTACCCTCTTTTTTTCTTCGGGTTGCCATTGTTGAACATGACCCTTTAGCTATTTACAGTCCTTTACATTTGGACTATTCTCTGCACCCAGGCCATGCACTCATCCAGGTCATGCATGAGATGCCAATAGAGGAGCTTCCTGCAGCAATATAAGATGACAATGTAGAGGGGATGGAAGCCTCACAAAACGGGGGTCATCAGGCTATTCATGACGTAAATTATGAGGATTTTGCCCATTTCTGAAAGTGATTCTAAGGTTACAGTGGAGAATAAGGTAATCAAGGATTTTGAGCCCATTCCTGAAAGTAATCCTGGGGTTTCTCTGATAAGAAGTTAGTGAAGGATTTTGAACCCATTGCTGAAAGAAATTATAGGTTTTCAATGAAAGTTAATGAAATGGACAATTTGAAGGCCATGCATGAAAATGATTCTAGGGTTTCTGCAGAAGTGAGAGAGAGGGGACTCGCTGACCATGCCTGAAACTGAGGCTCAAGAGGCAGAGCCTCAGTTTTCGTTATGTTATCCAATTTATTTATGCATTGTGATTCAGATTCTCATGTTTTGTCCAAAGGTATATACCATCCAACAGTTAAATTAATGGTTCACTGATACATGAAGTTCAAGTGGGGATTGAATTTCGGGTTTCGCAATGTGGCCCTTTTCTTTTGATTCCTCTGGTTCCACGGTTAAACAGACTGTACTGTTGTTGATTGTTTTATTTATTTATTTCTTCATTCATTCATTTGATAATTGTTCAGGGAGGATTTTAATGGAGGTTTGAGTTGTATGGGGAATGGAAGCCATTTCTCTTTTGGGTGGTTGGGGGGGGAGAAATCAGGGTTTTTTATCAGAGGACCATGGAGTTGAGCAGGAGACAAGGATTTGGGGAGAAAATGGCAGCCAAACTACCCCAAACCACAAAATGATTTAAATGCAGTATGTGGAAATCCAACAGATGGCCATCCATATTTGCAAACAAATCCAGATTATTTTCTTTTGCAGTCAAACAAGGAGCAAAACTTGACATATTTCCAAAACTGCCCCTCTAGCTCTTACACAAGACATGTACAAATAACATTCTAGTTACCCCCATACACACCCTCTCTTCCCTCTCCTCAAATCCACTCCATTTTGACGATAGCAAAACGTATGTTAAGTAAAATGAGAATCGACCTTCTTATTCTTTGTTTAGTCATAAAATAACAAAATTGAAACAATCTGAATGGCTATGAGATCCTCACAGTCAAAAGGTTTAGGTCTGACAAGATAAACAGTGAGTTTTAAAAGCAGCATGTGTAACCAAGACACTGCTTTGCAAAGTCCGAAATCCCACAAATTTATCATTATTTAAGGATTTCACGACCTTGTCATGTTTCTTACTGCCCTAGGTGACAAGAGACCAATTGAAGGAAAAGTAGTGCATAGATAACCCGCCAAGTCCAGTCAGAATAGGTTCCAATTTAAAATAATACAAAGATATCAGAAGTCTCTGCTCAGAAGAGGAGCAAAGATATAGAATGATGAAATGAACAAGCAGTAACTCTGCAATTAATAGAGAATTCATACTTTAGGTAACTACATGAACACCATGCATGATGTTTCTCCTATCAAGTAAAGTGGTGTCCAAACATGTTCTTCAGATTACGTTGGACTGACAACAGGATACCCATCTCATTAGAGAACATTAAATATGGCTAAAGAAGAATGCCCAACATCTTCATTCTTGGGAGTGTGATCAAAATGAGATCACGGGCACGCATATGGTATGAAGCACATAGCCCATTAGGAGACCGGGCAAACCTCCAAGGCCAAAAAGTATTGATGATGATCCGTGTTTGTCATGTACTCGTGAATAAATCTTCTGGAAAAATAGCCATTTGATACCAGTAACTCAATATCATTATACAAGAACTCATGTTCTCACGATTGGACATTCTCACAATTGGACAAGGTTGAACAAATACGGGGTAATCACCCTGACTCTGAGAGAAACTACTTACCATGACGGCTGCCTAGACCTTTGCAATCCAATTTCTAGTAGTCTATCTGAAATGATATATTTCCTTTACGATATGACAGGCTATGGTGAAATGAAGAAATCAAGTAATTTGAGACATATATAGTCCTTAGTGAGGACAACACTCACTATTTCATCTGCATGATACGAGTTCCACTTGTAGGAAGGCACAATGGCAATGTGCCCTAGATTTCAACTTTACTGTAGCAACAAAATCTACACAAAATCAACTAAATAGGCCCTGCCTTAGTCAAGATAGTGCATACAGGAAGAACAATAAGCTCGCAGGTTATAGTCTCACTGAGATCAGTCCGTTCTTCATTTGCTGACAAGCTTTGGAATGTCTGCAATCTATCATTGGGAATAACTGTAAATTTCGAAATAATATATCATGGGAATATGCCTCATTTATTTGAATGTTGGAATAAATCAAATATTAGGCAACAATTTTAAAAAATCTCTATAAAACTCGGTTGGTTTAATGATTTTGTACAGAGAACAAAAGTAAGACTCTGCGAATCAAATCGTAACAAATTTAACTTGTCCACTGAGCAAGGCAAAATCAAATCCTAACAAATTTAACTTGTCCACTAAGCAAACCAAATTGAGTTGAGAAATTCCCATCTGACTCACCAAGTTCTTAAAATAATCTATATGATCCAATAGGACAATGATACATGAAAGTCAGATGCTAACCATACACAAATCTTATCTTACTTATGGTTGAACTGAGTTTCTCAAATAAACCTTGTGCATCATGTCCAAGACCATGGGGAGTCATGCAGATCCTGGCACCCACCTCAAGAAGAGGTTAACTATACAACAACGATAGAATCTAAAACTAGCAGCTGAGGTGACCGTAGCATTATTCTCTCCAAAGTCAACGCAAGCAAACAAATGAGCTTTCCATCGGTCCAGACTCGAGTTCAATCATCATCATCATCATCATAGCCTTTTTTGGTACCCATCTCAAGAAGAGGTTAACCATACAACAACGATAGAATCTAAAACTAGCAGCCAAGGTGACCCTGGCATTATTCTCTCTAAAGTCAACACAAGCAACCAAATGAGCTTTTCATCGGTCCAAACTCTAGAGTTCAATCATCATCATCATAGCCTTTTCCCAATTATTTGGGGCAATCCACACTCTAGAGTTCAATATGATCAAATTTTAAACCTGTAGACTCACTAATAACGAACAGTAGATTAACCTGAAAAAAAGAAAAAAGAAAAAAAAAAAAGACAACAACAACAACAATAGATACGCCAAGCAATTAAGGATCAAAATCCCAAGCCTTATTGTGTTGCAAAACAACTAACTCAATTTACTTTGCTTCCAGTAGGGAAGTCACCACTTATCAGTAGGAGTATGACATACCAAAGTAAATAATTTTTTTATGAAAGTTCACTGCATTGTCTGTGTATCAATTTATAAGGATATGCAACTTATGTGTATCTGTTTTGAGTACAAAAATGACCATCACATAAGAAAGTATGGAATTGAAACTTAAAATCATGATTCATGAATCAGAAACCTACTCAGCAACTTTAAAATTTTCCCTCTTAAAAATAAAAGACATGCTTTTCCTAATCCACAAATCGTAACCACATGTTTATAAGCAAATGGTTTGCCCTTTCAAACATATGACGAACAAAATACAGAATATTTCCCATATAATTGAAAAGTAATTAAAGGAAAATAATAACTCAATCCTTCTTGAAAATTGGTAAAGCGTCTGCAATAACTCATCCCAATCATGGTAATTGCCAAAGAAATATGTATGTATCCAATGGTGAACCAAATAGAGAGGGAAGCAGAAAATATATTTACCTGTTTTATGCCCTTTAATACTGCTTGAACCTTTGACTTCTGGGGAACTACTTTATCGTCTTCTGCCTTGCCACTTCCCAATAGAGGAATCAGAGGGGAAGGCACAGGATTTGTGTTTGCATCGGATGATGACTCTGCCAGCAATTTCCTCGAATCGGAAATCCCCTGCATATGAGAGAAATTATCTACAAATAATCACATGAAGTCTCAAAGAAATCTCCCCATACTTATCAATCAATCGAAACACAACAAAGAAAAAGGAACATTTATGAATTGAGAACCAAATTCTCATATAATGAAGGTCATCTTCAACAAGATGGGATGTGTAAATTTTACCAGTCTCTGTAAGTAACAATAAAATGGTCGTTGTATGTGATTGGAGGGAATCCCCGCAACATTCCAGAAACCAGGATCTTGACCTGTCCAAGAAAGGGGATGTTACCCCATAAATACAAAATAATACAAGCCCCAATAGCTTAAGCAATTTTGGCAATGTATGAAATTTTGAATATAATGGTCCAATAGGGAGTTCCATCAACCCCAAGCCTACAAAAAGTAGCAAAAGCTAGCATTCTTTTTTCTTAATAAGAACTAACATTCCCTATCACAATAAACTCATCACACTATCTGATTAAAAGAAATTAAAGTACAGTACAGTGACCAATGGGAAATGCCTGACATTCATAGTCCATAAAAAAGTCATTAAAAAAACCAGTAATCTTCTTGAGTAAATTTAAGTCAAATCCTTCTCTTCTTTGCATCTCAACAAGTTAAAATTTTCAATCCATTCACGCACTCATATTGCAGAAAATCAAACTCATTAGCATAGAGAATCCTAAACAAACACACAAACCACTCTCATGAGCACTAACAACTCAATTATCAAACTACTTCGTGATAAAAAAATAAAAATAAAAAGCCGTATCCATCATAGTATATAAGCCCTATATGTCTCTAATATTCTATTCTAAAAAAAGCCATAAAAAATAAAAAATAAAAACGATGTATCTCACACTAGAACAGTTCCATAATGTATTTTTAACTTGTTTTAAGCATCTCATTGGAAATGAAAATGGGTTTGTGAAACCTGAAGAATGGTAAGTCCTTGTAAGAGCAGAGCCAGAAGGGGTGAATGGGGTTTGGTGAAGCTTTCGTTCAACTGTGTTGCCAACCCAACAACACAAGCTTTGCAAATGTCTTTGCCATCCCACCATGGTTGCAGAAGAAGATAGAGGTGAATCACCAATTGCAAAACTTCCTTATCAGAACCATCAATTCGTCTGCACTTACGGCGTGTTTGTTTACTGGAAGACAAACGTTCCTTAGAAACTGGAAGTTCTTCTTTGTTGGGAAGTGGAATGTTATCTTTCGGGAACGTTAAAGAAGTTCTGGGTACCTGTGTTTGATAACCTGCTGGAATATTAAGGAAGTTTTGAGTACCTGTATTTGATAACATGCTGGAATGTTAGCAGTCAATACACATTGTTAACTGTGTATGGAATAGAACGCCCACACGCAACAATCCAATCCCACTGGTACAGTATTAACTGGACTGTATACAATGATAACAGTGTATAGGGAATGCATACACTTGAGAATGACATTTATTGACTATTAACAGTCCATTACTCCATATATACTGTTAACACTGTATCAGTATATATGGCCGTTAAGAGTGAGGTTTATGAATTTGTTAATAGTCCATAAACACTATTAACAATGTCACTGATTAACAATGTATATACACAGTAAACACTATTAAAAGTGTATATGAACTATATAGAAAAGCATTGACACCATGATTATGAATCCATTACTGAAGTAAATGTAACAAAGTATGATACGTATACAAAAAGACATTGATGTATAACAATCAATCTCAAAAATATTTCAGCAAGTAATATTATTCGGTGCACTCATATACAAAATTCAAGGAAGAAAAATAATTACTTTCTCTGTGTATCCTCAAATGGGATTTACTGCATGACCAATACCAGCCAAATTTGCCAACCTAAATTACCATGACAAACAATGTGACCCTATTCAACCCCATTTGCATCAAATACACCTGCCATTAACAAAACAACATAGATCTCCAAGAACAAATAAACATTCAACAGCTCCATATTAACTCAGAGCCAAATCAAAATTTTAATCGCTTGCCAAAGGCATTTAAGCCCCGCAGAGGAAAGTAAATGACAAAACGAAGGCACAAAAATCATGTAAGCAAAAAATTAGACCAAATTTAGAATACTACCCGGTACCAGCCACCCCATTCAATCCCTTAGGTTTCTAGACCAGAGTTCCTTGAAAAGCATGGTCGACTATTAACCCCTCAAAACCCCAATCAGGGTTCTGAGGAGACCCCATTCTTCTCCTTAAAGTGCCCCTCAATTCTTGGGGCAACAATCAAACAACAACCAATCCTAGAGTGAGAAGAGGTCATATTGCAAAAGATTTGCTTGCAAATGGGTCAAGCAATTTATCAGCAAAGGGAATGAATGCCAGGCCCATTCTTCTCCTCAAAGTGCCCCTCATTTCTAAACAACAATCAATCCTAGAGAGAAAGAGGTCACATTGCAAAATATGTGCTTGGAATTGGGTCAAGCAATTTATCAGCAAAATTCGAGACACAACAGAGAGAGTCCGGTATTTGTATCGAAATAGAATGAGAGAAGGAAAATGAAGGATTAGAGTGAAACTTTGTATGAAATTTCATCTTGCGTTAGCAGATGCGGGAAAGACAGACCAGATGAGAGAGAGACGAAATTAGGAGAGATGCAGAGAGAGAGAGAGCACAGGGGACTGGAACTGAGATAGCAGATGAGAGAGAGAGTACCTGGTTGAGGGCGGTGGGCCTTTTGCTGGCGCAAGCAGGAGGAAGGAACGCGGGCGGCGGCTTCAACGCAAGCGAGAGAAGAGAGACCTGCACTATTCACGGACCGCCATTTCTTTGCCTCAGAGTGAAGACGGTTTCAGTGGTTTACACAAATACACTATGTAATAGGCACTTATTTGATATATTGTCTTTCTTTGCGTCCCCTCCCTTAAACCTAATTTCTAACAAAAATGCCACCCAAACCACGAACTTTCATAAAACATCCCCTGGTTCATTTTGGGGCTTTTCTTCTTCCTCATGACCATCAAATTCTTTTCTCAACTATTTAATGTTATAAGAATTCTAATCCATCATTATATTTTATTAAGAGCCAATTTTAGTGAAATCATGAGTTTCGAATAGAGTGTTAATTTACTTCCTTGCATAAAATCCCACCTATAATTAATTTTAGGACCCCAAATTTCAGAGATGTGACATCTTCAACCCATATATTAACCTCAAAAAAAATTCTTAATAATGTACCATCAATTCAATTGAAAAAAAAAAGTCTCAAAATGAAATAGAGGCCATCCAATATTTAGACGGTAAGAACTAAGTATTAGGAAAATCAAATTTAAGTTTTTTTTTTCAAAATAGTCATCTAGTACTTCTCAAGAGGTACCCATAATGTCATATTGAAAAAATCCTCTCAAGTAGGTCTTTTGACCGGGAGAGTAGAAGTAAATTATGCTACCAAATGAGCATAATCTACATGCTCATCAATTGCTATTTATTACTCATGTGGAATTAGAAAAAATGCAAACCAATCTAAATTTCTCAATTTCTTGTTAGTTTCCATAGATGTTTTAAAACCCATATCCACTGGTTGAATCGCCCATCCAGGAAATTGATCTAAATCAGTGAATCATCGATCCAAATTGGTGATCCTACCGATTCTCCACAATAAATATGGGATTGTATATTGTAACACCACTCACTTTTGGCAGTCACATTTGCTCCTAGCCATTGGATGTGAAACTTAACAGTTTGGGTGTCTCACATGGTTCAAAAAATTGTATTTTAGACTTTTTTGGGTATGTATTTTGGATTTCTTTTGGGTGAGTAAGTGGGGAGAGGACCTCTATCATTGATAGGAATTGAAACTAGGATGTAGTGTTGCAAATCATCAAGCACTAACCAATTAAGCCCAAGCTCTTCTCTTAAGTATGTATTTTGGACTTCGTCCCAATCAAATTTCACAACCTTAGCCATCCAATTTCACATATAACAGTAAATTGTAAGTATGACCTCCTTACAGCAAAAAGTAAACGGTCTTATTTTGTACTTTCTTGCTGTATATGCACCTCTCTACCTACAAGATCCTACGCTTAGGATTCCCTGCAAAAATTTGACATGGCCTTATTTTTCTTTGCATCTACCTCCCAGGGAAAATTACAAAAAAAAAAAAAAAAAACTAAGAATAGACTTCCTATGCAACTTACTTCCAACCAAACCTTTTTTTTTTTCACTTTTTATTCCAAAATATACTTTCATAGCAAATACCCCGTAAGTAAAAAATATATATTGTTTAACTAAAATTCTATTTTTTCATATATAAAAAAATTAATTTTGGCCAGACATTCATGTGCGCTTATTCACAGTACCAAAAGCTACATGGGTTGACGAACCACTATTTACAAATTGCCAGACCCCATTAAACTAAAAAAAAAGTGCCGAACCGCCTTCATTAGCTATCTGACCGCATATAGATCTACTGGACCGCATACATACAAGTGTCGAACCGCCATATAGATATGCGGGACCACATGCTTGTCTAGGAACAGTGTGGGACCGCCATAGGGATCTGCCAGACCACATTTTGTCCAGAAAAACAGTATCGGACTGCAATGTACATTTGCTGAACCACATGTTTATCCAAAAAGAATAGTGTTGGACTGCCTTGTATATCTGCCGAGCCTCACCTTTGTCCAGAGGAGAGGGAGGCGTGGATAAAAGTCAATGAAGGGTAATTTAGTTTTTCTTTTATTTAGTTTGTGGTTGGGGGTATCTGCTAGACAAATATATTTTGGGGTAAAAATTGAAGACAAAAAGTTTGTTGGGGTAAGTCCATTATTGGGGTTATTCGTAATTTTTCCAATTATTAAGCAGCCTGGATCCTCTACAACAAAAATGCCCTCAAGTAGGTTCGGTACTTAAAAAAACAGAAGTGAAAGGTAAAACAGAAAAACAAGCACGGGTGAAGTGCCAAACCGATTTTGGTTTCGTATTTTAATGATTTATCTAAATTTGTTAATTTGTTATACTTGGATTTCAAAATTCTGGATAAAAAAATGCCCCGATCTTCAACCCCAAACGAGTAGGTACACACACTCCCCGGGTGTGTAGCATATGCACTCCTTTTTTCATTATCTACATAACAATTGTTTCATGCCAGCTAGAATGTATTTCTACAGTAAATGGTCCAGAGATATAAAACATCCATCTTAAAAATGGATCCAAATAAGCGGTCCATCTAAAAACAAATATAACTAACGATCCAAATATTTTCATAATATAATTGTTATTTGTAGTTTTCAAAATTTATTTATTTTTTCATATTCATGATTTCCATGTTAGATATTATAAAAATTAAGATCAAATTATATTTAGGAAATATATTTATTGCCAAGCATGTATTTTTATAATATGCGGGCTGGCTGGATGCTAACTGCGTTCTTATCTTTGGGAAAAGTATAAAAAAACCCCAAGACTACACTTGTTATGCAACTTACCCCCAACCCAACTTGTTCTCTCACTTTTTTGCCAAAAGTATACTTTCTATGCAAATACCCCCTTTATTTTTTGATAAAAAAGCCCTTCCTATACAAAAATAATATATTTCGCCACTTACAGGGCCTTCACGTGTGGTACTGCCGGAGCATGCATTGAAACTGCTAGAGCGGCAGTACTTCGAGAACATGTACTGCCGGCTCGCGCTTTGAAACTGCCGGAGCGCTATAACTAACAGAACCTTATATGCCGAAGCGCTATTTGCAACTGCTGGAGCGACCACTGTCGGGTCGTGCTTTCAAACGGCCGGAGCGATATGGTACTACCCACCGTGCATTGAAATTGACAGAGCGGCAGTACTTCCAGAACATGTACTGCCAAACCGTGCTTTGAAATTGCCAGAGCAGCACGACTAACATAACCTCTTTTGCCGAAGCGCTCTTTGTAACTACCAGAACAACCACTGTCGGACCGAGCTTTTAAACCGTCGGAAGGATGTGGTACTGCCGGAGCCTGCATTGAAACTGTCGGAGTGGCAGTACTTCTAGAACATTTATTGCCGGACCACGCTTTGAAGTTATCAAAGCGGCATGACTAAGAGAACCTTTTCTGCTGAGACACTCTTTGTAACTACCAAAGTGACAACTGTCGGACCGTGCTTTCAAACTGCCAGAGTGATGTGGTGCTACCGGAGCGTGCATTGAAATTGCCGAAGCAGCAGTACTTCGAAGCGCAATCCCGCAGTTTCAAAGTTCGGTCCAGCAGTACATGTTCTAGAATATGTGAAGGCCTTATAAGTGGCGAAAATTGATTATTTTTATATGAAAAAGGTATTTCCGTAAAAAAAAGAACTTTTTTCGTTGGGAATATTTGCATAGAAAGTTTACTTTTCAAAAAAAAGTAAACAAATAAATTGGGTTGGAGGTAACTTGCATAGTAAATATAGTCATGTTTTTTTTTTTTTTTGTTAATTTCCCTTATCATTTATCTCCTTTTCACAAAGGAATGACTCCACGTACTCCCTCAGTCATGAGTCCGTTACACCAAACTTGGTCCTTTCAAGGAGAAGTGTTATATGCGCTGGGAGACGCATTTCGACATTTCCCATCGGTTCCCTAAAGAAAAAGTAAAATTAATAGTTTAAGTATTTTATTTGAAAAAAAATATTTTTAGTTTTTAAAATTTATTTTTTATGCATTAATGATCTCCATGTTGGGGATCATACATTCCTTAAAAATTAAGCAAGATCTATTTCAAAAAAGCAAAAGTTTATATAAGGAAGCAATCTTACCTCTACAACTACGGATGCACCCAAAATCTATCGAAAAAGATCGTTTTAATGTTGAAAAACCCTTTGATTGATCATCTCGACATCGAGATGTATGACCATGAAAAATAAAAGGATTTAACTCTCAGAAATAGTGCATTTTACAACATATTATCTACACCGTCCATTTTCAAGATTTTCATATGTTTATAGATCTAATTATTTTAACCATTTTTAAAATTTAAAATTTTATAATTAGATATAAAAATAGATTTTGAGATGATCCTAGGAATGTTTTACATCAAAATTATATACATAAAACTTGAGGTTCACCTTACCTCTACAGTTACGGATGCATCCGTATGCTAACTGCACCCTTACCTCTACAGCTACGGATGCATCCGTATGCTAACTGCATCCTTTCAAAAATAGATTATTAAGGGACCCCGTATTTCTACATCTAAACATGGTCGCTTAATATCATATCGCCAAAAGATTTCATGCACCCAAAGGAGCATACTGTCTATTCGTTTTATCAAAAGATTTCATGCACCCAAAGGAGTACACTGACTATTAATTTCCTTGAGTAAAACCCAATATTGAGGTATTTCTAAAACCTCAAAATCTTGATGATATAATCATGTAACCTCTTCAACCCATACGTTGAGTGATTGTTTTTTTCTTTTCAAATTGTATTCTACATGCTTAAAATAAAGTAAAAAATAAAAAAATTATTGAATGGATGTTGTCCAATTTCTGAAGAGTGCAATCTAAATATTAGGAACCTCAAAAACCAAAATTTATATTTTGAATACAATATCTATTGATTTTTAAGTGGCTCTAATTTCTGATAAAAAGAAAAGTCTTCCCAATTTAGTCTCTGACTGAGGGTGTAAGTGTGCAGTATACTTCCACAGGAACATAGTTTGTAGTCTATAAATTTTTTTGTCAACCTCCTACAAATATTTTCAGAAAATTAAAATTTGAATTTTCAAACAATTATATCACACTCTCTAAAAGTAAGATAATCTTGTTTAATTTTGAGACATTGCTTCTTCTTTTTTCCCTCGTGTACAGAGTGCAATCCGTATAGGTTCAATTGAGATCAGTCCATGGGTTAAATTTAGGCGCTAAAATTATTTTATAGGTTGCGTTTCGCGGAAGGGAGTAATCGAGCAGTAAATTCCCGCGGAAGCATAAAATCCTTTGACACCTCAATAAACTCCTTCGCACCGGCGTGACCCCTTCCGCGGCTTCTCCCTCCCCTCTCTCTCTCTCACCCTCTCTCTCTCTCAAAGCGTCTGGTACGCGTTTTCTCTCTCCAGTCCCTCTCCCTCTCCCTCTCTCATGGCGGCCAATCAGAAAACCCAACTGGACGAGAAATGGGAGGCGTGCCTAGACATCACTCTTCGCCGCTCTTTTTACTCTACCATAGCGGGCACACTCGCTGGTCTCATTTTCTTCAGTAATTACTCTTCTTCTCCGTTTCTGATCAGTTTGTTTTGTAGTTTCCTCATGTTTTATTCTGCAATTTTCCTCTCCATTTGTCATCCATTTGCATTCCCTGCCCCTTCCCTTTTTTATTTCCATTTTCATGTCTAAGACATATTCAGCTTTGGCTCTTGTTTCGTGTTTCCATCTGTGTAATTGGTCTTCCCTTGTTTGATAACGTCCTATAATCTCATAAATGGTGACCATAGTGTTATATATTATGTATTTTTGGGGTTATGAACTCTCTTTCTCTAGAATTGGTGAGATTGGTTAGAAAAATGGTGAATGTGGACCCGGATGACTGGTGAAATCCAACGCGTTGGGGGTTAAATATGTTTGAAATTTGGATTGTTTTTTCTATGATTACCAGCACGTAATGTACAGAATTGGCTATATGTGAAGTAGATGAATGCAACTGTAAATTAAGTGCAAGAAATAAAGCAAACATAAAAAGCACACCACAATGACATACCATACCATTTACGTTGTTCACCCCATTGGTCTACATCCATGGTCTCGGCAAGTCGAAATCTACTATCACAATGAAGATTACAATTTTAGTTTACAAGAGGTATACAATTTTATTTTACAAGAGATATAATCTAGACAACGGTAAGAACCTCTTACTTTCCCTTATAAACCCGCTCTCCCGATCGAGCAACACCTTCTATCAATATGTCATTTCACACCGCAATACCACTACGGGAAAGATAACCTCAAGAGCAACGGAGAGATTTTCTCTCTATTTAAAGTTTAACCAATCTAAAATCCCCATGGGAAAACTACCTCTCTATGAGGCCATGTCTCTTTATTTTGAAGATCCATCTCTTTTTTGGAGATCCCTTCTCATGAACTTCAAAAGGGGTGACCTCAAAAGGATAAGTATTATGTCTTCCATGACTCCTATAAGTAAGATCACTTTCTTGCTTCTCAAGAAAGTCCCTTTTTTTTTTTTTATCATAATACCCTTAATCTTTAGAAGAAAATATGGGTATGGTTCACCAAACCCAACACCCTAAGACTCTTCTCAATTTTTTGTTTTTACTGGTTAATTTGTAATGCTGTATTTGCTTTTTCATTGTTGTCTAAGATGAATTGATACTTTTTTTAGTCACAGCACAAGGTTTGTTCTTCAGTTATTGGATTACAGTTGCACCCTGTTCTAGAAAATTTCTTTTTGTTTTTTCTAATGTTACCTGTATTTCATTCACTAGATACAAAATTGCTATAGAAGGGTGGATATACAAAATTGAATCTATAATTTCACATGCAAGACTCTACTAAGTGGGCTAGATGGTAACAATAAAGGATGGTCTTTTGATTCCTTGCTTGTTGCTGCTCTTTTGGGGATCATTTCTTCCTGCTTATTCCCTGTTACTTTTGACAGTTTCCATTTTTTGATTCTTCTGACTTTATTTTGGTTGTACATGCTTAGCACCCATCTTGTAGGGTTGCCTTAACCATGTCGGTGTGGTTTTTTTGGTAAGAATCAGTGTACCAGGAACCGACTAGGGCGAGGCCGATTACCCTTCAATTGTGTGACAAGTTGGGGTATTTTTTAAAAAAATCATGTTATCCATTTTTTCTTGACATGAATTATATGTATTAAAAGAATATTGGTGTGTGTGTTTTGCCATAAATTCCAATTTTATATTCTTCCTTCTTTTTTTTTGTGGATTTTTTTAAAGTGCCCCTAACTACTGATCTGTTTCTAATCCATTTTCTAGTACTTTTTTGAAGTTTATTCGGACTCTTAAAGATTGTTTTTTTGTTTTATTTTTGTTTTTAATACATTTTTTTGAACTTTTCCTCATGGTTTTTCAATTTATTTAGGGCTTTTCAGCCCTGTGCTTGAATTGCCCGAGTCCTAAGTCTTGAGGACTTAGCCAAGTAACTCGCCTTGGCCAGGAGGCGAGTTTCATGCCGTAGGTGAGTTTAATTGACTTATTTATTGCATTCCCAGCGAATCTATGAGCTACTTCATTGAGTTGTACTCTGGAGCTGAGAGAGATTAGAAGGATAGTCTACACAAATTCGAAAAAAAATTAGTAGGTTTTTAGGGCACTTGAAATGGTCGTAGATAATGAGTACTGAATTTTTTTTTTCTGGTTGAAAAGACACCAGACTTTAATGAATGACAATTGTTTTCTATTTTCTTAAGGAGAAAAACGTTAATCAGAAAATTGTGGGTTCCTTTCCTTGACAACTTATACTCCATTGATGCAGTCCATTGTGAATGAATGCCTTTTCTTTTATTGGTTGGTGGATAGAATAATGGGGGTATATAACTCATTTTTGCATCTGATTTCAAATGGCATATAAAGGTTAGGAGCCTCTTATATATTTGCTTTGCTGGTTATTTAATTTTGGATGGCATGTGGAACTGGAGACTCTTCTGTTTCCTTTTTCTCATGGTGGCTCATGAATGTCTTCCCACTCACTGCCGATGATATAGGAGGCTGGAAAGTTGGAACTTCTTTACATTATGTTTTAAACTTTTAATCATTGAAAACACTATGGTTAATTTGTTATGTATTATGGTGCTGCACAGGCTGGACTAATGATAATTGAACTATGACTCTTTTACAAGTTGTGCAACCTTTTATCACATTTGAGACAGAAATGCATAGCTGACTTAATTATTGGCTACATTGCTAGCATAAAGTTGCAGAATGAATGTCCAGTGCCTCTCGGCCCCATTGTGGGTTCTATGTGGTTATACCACCATCATAGTGGGATGCTTTTCTTTGGTCCCTTTTTTTCATCAAAAAAGAAAAGAAAAAGTTGAATCTTCATTTATTTCCTGAGTATTGACTTCTTCATGGTTAAATACTTGTCAAGTCTTATTTTTGGGTTTTCTTATTTAATCGTTTCCAGTGCGTAGTTGTCCTGCCTTGGTAGCCTCATTACCATGCCTGCATTGTCATTATGAAGTTGCATTACCTTGACTTCTGTTTCCATTGCCTATAGTTGTCAGTTCTTCCAAACATCTTTCCATATTTGACCACAAATAAGCTCGAGTAGTATTTAGTGAAAGTTCAAGCCTTTCCTCTTTGTTACTCTCAATCATTCCCCCATCTCGTTTTCTAGATGAGATTGCCATGATATCTCGATTCCTTTTTGTTTCTGTTGTTTTCAATAATGAAATGAATTATTCATTTCTGCAGCTCTGCTCACCAGATGCACCGCTCCCACATTGAATTTTGCCTTTCCTTTCACAAATATTGAAGACTTACTATGACTACTTTTAGACTATACAGCAACTTCTACTTGAAAATGAAAATAAAATTTTGATGTACACAATATGAAGTATACTATTGCCAAATATTCCCTCCACAAAAAGAAAAGAAAAAGGAATTTTCTAACACTAGGTGATCTTTGTTTTCCTCTATAGAAAAACTAGAAAAATTAGTTGAATCTATTTTAAATTGTTTATAATCATCACTTATCAGAAAAACAAAAAGTGTTTTATCGTTTGTTACTTAAAATAAACTTTTTTATCATTTAATTTTCATTGCAACTATAGCTTCTATTACATGTAGAATGCAATGGATGTGTGGACTTTGGAGTGTGTATGAGAAACTTTTGTAATTATGCAACGACTTTGTATATGCAGCTTTATTTTCAATTCCTGATTTCCATGTCATAATGAAAAGCTTTTGGGAAAATAAGGTGCCTAACATATTGTTTTTGTCAATGAACATCATTCTTCTTGTAATGAACTAATGATGGTTCATAGCTTTGAGCTAGTGTGATGTAACACATGGTTAAGAGTCTTCTAAGGGCATAACCATGGTTTCAACTTTCAAAGAATGTTTTAAAGCTGACTTCGACATGGTACTCAGACCTTGCAAAGTAGAGTTGGCCTGCGCCTTGTTGAGGTGAATTTGCAATTTGTCGTCTCCTTTTTTTGAAGAATTTATAAGAAGAATTACTCTATGCTCATTGCCTTTCTTTTTAACAAATGCCATATCATGAGTCATGGCGCAATTAATATGTCATTCTGTTGTGACATTGTGATTATTGCATAAAGGGGTTCAAATGAGATTTCTCTATTGGGGTTCTATGGCATTTAAGGCCCGTGAGATCATGTTAAAATAAAGATTATAGTAGATTATGCACTTTAGTGGGAGTGCGTCTGTTGGTCGGCTGGCTTAGGGTTAGGCGGTTTATGGCTCAGGTCATGTCCAAAACCCTTACCTCTTGGCATGTGGTACTAATGTTGAGGGTTTCTGGAGAATTATCCTTTGTTGAAGTTGGAGAGATGCTCAAGAGCGATTGCAAGGATAGAGAACTTTATGGTCTCTTGTGTGCGTTTGTAGGCATGTGAGAACGAGGGCTAAATCTTCAAGAAACTTTGCACCATATGTACACTTAACAACCGAATTCCAGGAAGCAACCGTGCAAAGGTATACATGTACATCTTCACAGCGAGAGTCCCTCTTGCACATTAGTAATATGTGCATATGACTTGCTCTTAAGGGGGAAACTCGTAATCTACATTTTGGGATCGTGGTTCCGCTACTTATTAGCAAGCTTTGATGAACCAATTATGAGCCCCTATATGAGATTGTGAGCTATGGGTCTCGTTGGGTTCGTTTGAGACGATAGTCGAGGATCGTAGTTACTGGGTTGGATGGAGTGCCCTGACAATCACTTTTCTTAACCCATTAGTACCAATTCACTTCTAGAAAATTTATTTTCAACTTAAGAAATGTTTATGTAATTCATAGATTTTTTTTCTGAAAAATTTAAAATTATTTTTAGATGCATAAAACCCTAAAAAGTGTAGTGTTGATATTTTTTAAACTCTTGCAGCACTTGTTTTTAGTGGGACCCAGAGGGGTTAGCATTAAGGGCTTAGCTCCCGTGGGGGACCCACATGGGGTAAGACGTGGGGCCTACATGTCCCCACAGTAGGTGGGATGCCCCACATGAAAGGGTGAGGTCTCCCACTTGTTTGGGTAACCTCCC